GAAACCTTGTAATCGATAAATGGATAAAGAAGCTGGATGGATGGATGGATGGATGGATGGATGGATGGCAGTGAGAAGGTCCTGTTAACATAATTATTCATCATGGAGGCCAAATCACGGCATGGAAAATTAGCTAAATCCTTTCAGGTGCTGCTGGGGATTCTGGGAAGGCCGCTACTCTTCCAGCATGTTGTGTCCAGTCTGCGCCCTGTTAGCTAAAGGCTGCTTTTACAGCTTGTCTCTAAGACCTCCTTCATTTGCGCGAACTCCTCCATGTGACCGGTCATCCTTGTTCCTATTCATCCTGCCAGCTGCAGTGTTGCCCCAGCATAGCAGCTCTCGTCTCCTCGCCCGAGGCTTCCTCTACTCTGGCCCGGCTGCCTGATTTGTGGACATCGACGACGCAGGTTCTGGAATGTTCTGCCTTAATGTTCCAAGGCAGCTTTTGAACTTTTGAAATTGAGTCTGGCTCTCCTTTCCTTAACCCTGTGTTCCGGTCTCTCCGGCGATGGCCGAATGGAGCCGGTGCTGGCCGGTGTCCCGCCCACTTTTGGGTGGCTGATCGTGATGCGGCTGTGAGTGCAGCAGAGTGGAGGGGGCTCGTCCCGACATTCATTCCTGTTCTCCTCCAGAGTCTGTCTGCAGCATCTCACCACACTGGCCCGTTCCTGTTAAGGACGGACATTAGGCCTGGCTGAAATATGTACAGAGGAACACTTAAGTCATTTATTAACACCTCCAAATGGAATCAGCGATGAACAGCGAGCCGGAGGGTGATTTCCCTGGTGATGCAGTGATGCAGTGATGCAGTGTCACCTTGGCCCCTTGCATATCGTGCTTGTTTTATGTTGCGCTGAAGCCCTCAGCAAATGATCACATTTATGTAAATATTGTTTTCTCAAGGGGTCTGACACTTTATAATCACATCCAGGCATTTCCTTACAGCAAAATAAGCCAGATTTTGTATTTGTGCCCTTTCATGTTGTTTTTTTAATATTATTTTTATTTTATGTCATTATCTTTTTTATTATTTAGTATATCCAGCTTGGGACTGGACAGCATAGTTTGAGATCAAAGACGAAATGCTCGCGGCGGTGGGGGTCATTCGCAGAGGGCATTTGTGAGTCCTCGTGACACATACTGTTATTGTGACAGGGTCACTATCAGGGATTAAACGGAGGCGATTAAAGCACTTATTGTGACAGGGCAGCTATCAGTACTAGTGATTTAAGTGATTAAACCTCTGTGATGGGGTTTCCGTCCTGGGAGCAGGAGATATGTGACAGAAAGGTGGAATGGGGGGGGCTTTCGTTATTTTTTCTTCAGTATTTATCATCCTGCAGATGCAGGTAGATATCGACTCTGGGATTGTTGATGCAATCAAGCCTGAACTTTCACATGGAACACAAATCACTAGACTAAAGTGACCTTATTTTGGGCTTATTATGAAACGTAGTGCTTTGCAAAAGACCATGATGCCTTGAGAAGTTCAAGGTAAAATCAGAAACGGTCGATCGGCAGCAGGATACATGGATGTAATCGACACGACAATGAACGTTCCATTGGGAACCTTGGGAACCCGAACATTCTGTTGGTCACCAACCTTGGGAACCCGAACATTCTGTTGGTCACCAACCTCGGGAACCCGAACATTCTGTTGGTCACCAACCTGGGAACCCGAACATTCTGTTGGTCACCAACCTCGGGAACCCGAACATGCTGTTGGTCACCAGCAGTTGTCATTGACTTGACGCTGCTTAATAATAATCTTTCCAGTGAATGTTTGAATATTTGTTAAAGATTACGATGCACTTACTTCTGGACAAATCCCTTGCGGCTGGGCTGAGGTGGGTTCGCTCTGGACGGGGACGTTCACACACACTCATGTTAGTGCAGAGGTTCACCTTGGGCTTCCGGGAGAAAAACCACGCCGAGCCTGATATGACATGCAGATTTCCCACAAGGCTTTGCTCTGGCTCCACCGTCACGCTGCCCTATCTCGCTATCGATTTGGACACGTCAATTTGTCATCGGAATTTCTTTTGTCTTGAGATGACGAATGTGTGCAAGTCCCACAGACAGTCATTAAAGTGAGATTTTCACGTGGACTCATTTCCACCTGACATCATTTATTCTTTGAAAGGAAGAGACACCTTTGGCTGTTCCGGGCATCTGATTGGACGCTGACTGTCATTAATCAATCATGTGGCTTGCGGTGTAATACTTGTGATACTGTTTGAAGGTGTGATTGTAACCGCAGAAGCTTATTTTCCTGCCCTTTACAATGACAAGCTCTTGCTAATGATGACAAATTGCCAATATTAAACAGCAGTAAAAGCAGGCTGGCTTTTGATGATAGGGTAGGTTTGGATTTGGGGACCGTCGTCGAGTTATTCAGAAGCTTCCTGTGCTCCTGGGCACGTCAGGTGGCACGCCCGGGGCACGTCAGGTGGGCAAGGTGCTGCTCCACAAGGCTACCACTGCTCTTATAATGCTACATACTGCCGTCATTTTTGGGAACGGTTGCAAAATCGAATTCCGTGTGTAGTCATAGTCTTCAAACCCAGAGTGAAATATGTCCCCTCTGGTCCTTCAGTGGGGCAGTTAAATGTCACGTCTGCGTGAAATAGCGATTCCTGCTTCTCTGCTGCCCTGTGGCACTGGTGTTTTATGTACTGGGTTTTGTGGGGGGCGCTTTAATGAGCTCCTGTCGGTGGGTAATCACAGCGAGCTCCTGTCGGTGGGTAATCACCGCGAGCTCCTGTCGGTGGGTAATCACCGCGAGCTCCTGTCGGTGGGTAATCACCGCGAGCTCTTGTCGGTGGGTAATGACCACGAGGCCCTGCTCCTGCTCCCACACTGCTGAGCTTTGCTCGTGGCCTTTGGTTGCTGTACTTGGCCGTGGAACCGAGCATGATCCCGGCACCGAGTCACCGGCCATCGGTACCTGTGCCCACTCCGGCCATGGGTACCTGTGCCCACTCCGGCCATGGGTACCTGTGCCCACTCCAGCCATGGGTACCTGTGCCCACTCCGGCCATGGGTACCTGTGCCCATTCCGGCCATGGGTACCTGTGCCCACTCCGTCCATGGGTACCTGTGCCCACTCCGGTCATTACCCCCCATCTGATATGGCAGACAGTGTAACCTTCACCTCCCCAATCCCACATTAGCATCAGCACTAATGCATGTCACATGCCACATACTGGGGTCACATGCCATATGCAGGGGTCACACACAGGGATTGCATGCCACACACAAGGTCACATGTAGAGGTCGTAGAGGTCGTAGAGGTCACACTTCACACGAAGGGGACACACATATGGGGGTCACACGCAGGGGTCACATACAGGGGTGATGTTTGATATTGTCTCACATGTCAAAATACTTGCGTTTTCTTCTATTTATAACTCATTGTTATTTTGATATCACTCATATCTGGTATTTGTAGAAGTATATTTTAGTGTACAATGCATGGAATGTGTGCAATGCAATAATGAACAATGGTTTATGTCCAGTTATGTGTTAAGGTATAAAAAGTTTAATTTTGTACTGAATAGTTGATTTTCATAATTGCTGTGTATTAGTTTCAGCACAGGATTTAATATATGTTTTAATATCACCTAATAAAATAACATTCTAATGTAATATATATTGCTATAACTTGTCATCTAGGACAATAAGATAAGCTGCCTTGTGCTTCTCGACATCCAAGATGCAGCCGTTCTTCTGGGGTGCTTTTGTCCTTCAGGAAAGTGTGAAGTAAATATCACATGCGACTGGGATTGATTGCTTTTTGCTTTTATCAAATCATGAATGATGGCTGGATTGCACACCAGAGGCCGAATGTGGGAAATCGATCGGGCGGACGCAGGAAATGCGGTTTGTTACTCCGCAATAGCTGGCAAACACTTCACCTCACATAACACAAGTTCCAAATAAGAAGTCGCATGCGTTCACTGTAACCTTCTAAACACGGCCTACTCTTCCAGACACGAGCCACTCCTGAAATGATTTATTTTATACTGATGCATTTTAGAAATTAATAACTATTTTATTCCATATAAACATTATAATGAGAAAAATGTTTGATAAATGACAAGGCATTAAAGAAAGGACATTCTGTAAGAAGCTTTAGGAAAAATTGGAAACATCTCTTTTCCAATCAAATATGCAGGTTTCTATGAATACAAAAGGCCAGTCTTGTATCAATTATGAAAGCTAATATTTCTTTTTTCCCCCCATATGTGGCTTTATGGTCATTGTATTTATAAAAACCTTTCATCCCCCACTGAGATTTTACTCGCCTTTCTGCAGAAGAGCGGCTTGCCTGAAGCTGCTCAGACCTGCAGGCCAGCTATTAAGTCTCAGATCGAAATCAAATGTTGCACCCTGCAGCAAAATAGCTACCCATGGCCGCTGTTTGGGAAGTCCAGAGGATTAGCAGTATAAGGGAATAACGTAAAATTCATTGATGGTTTGAAGTCGCCATGACAATGGAGGCTGAACAAAGGCAGATGAAATGTGATAAAGACTCGGGGTAGATTTGTACTTATTTGGGAGGATCAGTAATTAGCTTATCCAGTCCCGTATTCTCAGAGCCATCTGTACAGATGCACTTTTACGATAAGTTTCATTTTGCTTCCTTGTCTGTTATCTCGTCTAGTTTTCCACATCAGACAAGGAGGGCTCTTCTTTTTTAATGCTGTGATGAACAGTTAAAGTCTGATCTTATCTGGTTTACTGAAGATGGTTAGAATTGACTGTACTTGTCCTCAGCGCTGAGCTGCGCCTATTTGGGGAAGAGTGACCCCCCCCACAACCTGCCCGGGCCGGTAATGGGATTAATAAACAGTACATGAGGCCGGATTATAATCCAATTATGGCAGAAATTGTTTTTTCACAGCTATCCTATGGAGTGTGTCACGTGTTCCGTACTGCTGGTCAGCCGCCGGAGCTAACCTGCGTTGCTGCTCTGTTCCCCGTGTCCTTGGCTGCAGGTTCCGGGCTTAACGATGGCCAGTGGCATGAAGTCCGCTTCCTGGCCAAGGAGAACTTCGCGCTGCTGACCATCGACGGGGACGAAGCCTCGGCCGTGAGGACCAACACACCCATCCAGATCAAGACGGGGAGCACATACTACTTTGGAGGTAGCCGGCACATCATCCCGATGTTCAGTCTCTCCTTTCAGGAGAATCCGACCCTACAATGGCCCAGAGAGGACTGAACTTCCTTCTCTTCATTGGCAATTCTGTCTATATCCGAAGGACACTGTACTACACACAGCTACTGTAGCTACAGCTTGAAGCGGCTCTATGTTTCCTTAAAAAAAACTCACAGCCAGAAGCCGACGCTCAGTAAAACATGCGAGCTCGGAACGTCTCTCTTTTTTTTTTCCCCCAAGTTGAATGTCAACACTTGTTGCGGTGTTCCTTGCCGCGGTATTCCTTGCCGCGGTGCCTGCCGACGTGCCCGGCATCTCCGAGTAGCATCCGCTGGCTCTGATATTCACGCTGGAAGGAGAGGCTCGCAGTTCATCCCCCTCCTGTCTCGGGATCCCCATGAAGCACAGGCGACGCGATGGCACAGGGGGGCGTTTATATGTTGGGGAAACTCTCAGTGGGAACTGGGCCAAGCTGCCAGCTACTGCTGACGGAACAAAAGAAGAAAATACACATTTTAGTACTTGTGAAAACAAAGTAGGGTTATTCAGCACTAGTGTACACATAAGGGCAAACATATGCAATTTTAGATAGATGAAATTTCTGTGAAGGGCCCACTGCGTTATTATTAAAATAGTCACAGGGGTCCTTCCCAGCACATGCACAACATGCCATTTTTGTTTTTTGAAGAAGAAGCAGTTTTGTTTTCCTTTGATCACAGTGCCATATGGGGACAGAGAGGAGGGTAGCTAAGTTCTGCCGGTTGCATATGGCGGCCCTGGCCCTTGCTGGCTCCGGTCCGTCTGTGGCGTAGGTAACAGGAAGGGGCTCTGGAGTAAAGCTCACACTAAGTGTCAAACACAATCTGCTCTGTCTTCCCCCGGACTCCAGTGCTCTGCATTACCGACCTGACTTCTGGGTAATTGTGAGAGATGGTGTGGCTGATAGGTTTATAAGACTCACCCATCTTTTAAAGGGCCAAATGAGAAGCGATGTGGCTCCCGTCATTCACGGCCTGCAGTCCAATTTACGGCGTGATGGGAAAGGGGTCCCTCATCTTCCTCTGTCCGTGACTGATCAGCTGTATCAAAGTGCTGTTATCAATCAGCTCCCTAAATGGAAGGCCTCATAGCGCAGCTCGCATGTGGCCTCGAGGTCAGGCCACTTTTTCTGAATGTGTCTAGCAGGTACAAAGCCTAGCCTAGCATAGGGTAGGGTAACATTAGCTTAGCCTAGCGTAGGGTAGAGTAGCATTAACTTAGCCTAGCATAGGGTAGAGTAGCATTAGCTTAGCCTAGCGGAGGGTAGGGTAGCATTAGCTTAGCCTAGCGTAGGGTAGAGTAGCATTAACTTAGCCTAGCATAGGGTAGAGTAGCATTAGCTTAGCCTAGCGTAGGGTAGAGTAGCATTAACTTAGCCTAGCATAGGGTAGAATAGCATTAGCTTAGCCTAACCTAGTGTATCATGGAGTAGCGTAGCCAAGCCTAGCCTAGTGTAGCGACCCAATGAGTCATCAAGGAAGTTGGGGCCCGGGGTCCCGGGAGCCCCAGTACTGCAGAAATGCATCCCTTTTTAAATCAGAAAACTCACTTCATTCTCAGCTACATGTTTTACTGCAGCCAAGTCAGCAAGAGAAGTGATGTAAGAAGTCAAAGCAGCGTAGTTACATCACCGCCGATGCCATTCATGGCATAATTCTTTCAATAACTTATTTCAAGTTGACATTCAGGACAGATTGAAATGTCATGTTATTGCCTAAAATCTGTAATTTATGATTTTATTCTTTAGTTCTGTATAAAGAAATGGAAAATGTACATCTGACATCAAATACCATAAATCCACTCCCCCCAAAACTATATATTCTACAGTTACAACAGTAATATCCTCTCCACTGTTAAAATGAGATTTATGTGGATATTGAAAATGCATAGCCAATTTGAATAAAACATTTTTATAAATCACACGTGATTATTCAATAGTTAAGATTAGTAAAGGTTAGGCGTGTGTCTGTGCTGAAGAAAAGTGATCTTTGTGAACATTAACCATTTTTAACAATGCTGGGTGATCTGCTTGATAAAAAGCTAAATCCTTGATATGGCATTAAGGCCTGTTTCTTCCCTCGCCGAGTCTCTGTCCGGTAGTTTCTGTGACGTGTAAGGTAAGGAGGGGCTCTGAAAAAGAGCCACCTGTTGTTTTACGAGTTCCTGCAATGGATGGACAGATGGCAGTAATATCCTCCGAGTGCCAGATCGGCATGACAGGACAGATAGATCCCTGACGGTCAGCCGTGACCCCATTGAATTATCATTAAAACCCGGCACTTTCCCGTTTACCCAGATAGCCTGTAATTGGCTGCTAAGCGTCTCACACAATGCGCCGCGTTTTTGCCCGGGTTTAAGACAAGAACCGGCGCCGGTAATTTGGGCATCGCTATTAGCAAGCAGAGGTGTAGCGGCGTTGACGTGTGTTTGTGCGAGATAAGAACCACGTGCTTGTGCCGGACGCCGTCACCAGGGGGCGCCGTGCCGCTCCTGCCCAGAGGTCTCCTATTAAGCTTGGCATTTCCTTCCAGAATCGAGGTCAGGCACGTTGTCGTGAGCGATATGTATTTTATCTCTGTTTGCCAGTCATGTGAGGTGAGGCGTCCGCGAGGGTGTGTGTGTTGGTGCGTTTAAGGCTTACGCGCGGGCGATGGCTACAGAATGCAGGATTGGGGGGACGGCGGCACGGAGCAGACAGACTAATGATATCAGAATACGGCCTGCGGCATGCCGACGTGCAGCCAAAGCAGCGATGCATAGCGAAACGCAGGCTGCCATGCGAGGGACTGATGTACAGGGAAGAGTATACGCCTCTGACAGTGATAGGGCTTTCCCTGATATCTGCGGCCATCAATCTAGAGGGCTCCCCCAGACTCAAGGCAGAGCGCTGACCCTCAGTGTGCAGTGTGGCGGGATTTTTGAAGTGTGAGGCTGAATGTCCCGTGTTGAGTGTCGAGCGTGATACCAGCCCCTGGGACCGGGGGGGGGGGGGGGGGCCTCTTTTTTCAGTTCACATCATTTCCACATCTTAAATTAGCTGTGAAGAAAAAAAAACAAAGCTGTTTAAAATACTTGATCACCTTACTGATTCTTGTTAAAGGCAATTTAGTTTTACCTAATAAGGTCACAGGGGAAATGCTTTATAATTACAGATCAGGCGAAGCTTTTTGTTATTCCCATACAG